GTGTCTTGAGGTTGTAGTGCCAGACGTATCGTGTTGCTGCGTCAATGAACGTGATGACATAGTTGTACTCTGCTTCACTGTCGTCTCGGGGCATATTTAAAATATTGATGTAAACCTTTTCCATCGGTACGTATGCAGGTGCGCTTGGATTGTGGTGCAATGGGAAAGATTGGTGGGGAAGATCGGCTTCGGGGCATGTGAAGCATCGTGCGTGGGGTCGTCAAAGCTCCTGGCCGCTCGTTGTGAGGAGAGCGTCTTTTTCTAATACTCCGGCATGTATGGTTTGAAGAACTGTGCTGTTTGCAGGGTGCCCAAGTCGTTGATGCCAGATGTCGTCGGGAGCGCGATGGCCGGGAGAACGCTGGTACAGGCCGGCGTTGGAGAAGAACGCGACGACCGTAGCGGGACTACGGCAGACTCCTCGGGTGATGGGCATGAGCTGATCTGCTTCGGTTGGTGGTCCTCGGATTGCTGGTGATGGCGCACGGCTGGGTCCTGCTGCTGCTACTATATGTGATGTCCGGGAAGGGATACTTGCTGGTACTTGTCGTTCTTGTCGAATAATTGCTAATGCTTGTGTTCTCTCTGCTGCAGGAATGGTGTTGGAGTACCAGAACCCGCCTGGACTAAAGTCGGGGTCAAGACCAGGCGGGTGCGTCCAGGTGGCGAACGACACGATGCCATCGCTGTCAGCAGTACCGCGGTCAGGGACGAAGTCCAGCACGAAGACGCCCGACTTCAGGAGAGCGCGACCGATGAAGAGGCCGCCCTTCCCGTCATAAAGACGAAACTCGTTGGCGTCCGAGTCGCATTCCAGGTGAATTCCTTTCGCCATTAACTGGCTGACGCTTAGTAAATTGTATCCCAGATTGTCGACGATGAGAACTTTGTTGAGTTGCAGCACGATGTTTGTCTCCATTGACTGAAGCTGAACGGCTCCTTGTCTGTTTGTCTTCAGGTTTTCATTGTTGGCGACGGTGATGATGACGTCACGGTTGAGGCGTCGTTCTCGTTGCACAAAGCGCCCCGAGGAACACATGTGTTGACCGCAGCAACTGTCCAGGAACCAGGTGTTTTGCCCGGTGGGTTCGGCGTTGGCGACTGCAGCATACGTGGGGTTGACCTGAAGACCTTGTGAGCGCGGCGGCGGTAGTTCGTCTTCATCTGGAGCGTAAGTGGGTGGTGACCCGGGTGTGCAGTGGTCGATGCGTAGCATGCAATGAATGATATTCGGTGCACCTTGTGCAGGTGTAGAGGAGCGGCTTGACGGATTCTCTTGAGTGGAGGCGACTTGCGGATCTGCTGGACGATGAACTCGAGGGCGTGTGCAGTTGACCTTGGAGTGCCCGGATGTCTGACAGTTGTGGCAGAACGGCGGCACGATGGTGAGACCTCTGGTGTCATGTCGGTTCTGCTTGTCGTATCGGTTGTAGTTGTTGTCATTTCTTCTTTGAGTGTAGAATACTAACGGTTGCTGCTTGTTTTGTGGTTGTCTTTCTTCAAACAGGTCCATCTCATGTTGTTCAGCATGAAGCTCGGCGCAGAGGTGCATCTCGGAAATTCGTCCGTGAGTGCGAAGGAGCGAGCGGGTGGTTCTCCATTCTGGTCCGAGACCGGCGAGAACAAGTGTTACGAAGCTTTCTTCAGTGATTGTGCCTCTGCACCGAAGCAGGCGGTCGCGAAATGTGTGGCAGCAGCTCATATCCTACATCGCCTTTTCCCCGTTTTTCATTTGTATTGTTGTCAACAACTGCATGAGTTTGCTTTGTGTCCCTATCGTTTGCTTGATAGAGACACTTCAGATGATGCCAGGCAAGCTCCGCGGAGTTTCCGTAGCTCCGATACGTTCTGATGCTCGGTTGCTCTTGTGGTGACAGGTTTCGCAGGAGGACTGTCTATGCCAGTAGCGACGGATACATGAAGATTTCCTGCTCCTTTGCAGTGCCATTGCTTGGAAATGGCAGGGACCCGTTGAAGTATCCCAAGAGGTGCGCGGCCTCCATCAGCAACTCGAACTCAAAGCTCTAGGTAAAGAAGTTGTGCCCGTTGAACGGTGAAGATGTCTGCAGTTTGATCACATGTGAAAACTGCGCCTGGAGTTTCAATATTTCGTTTGGTGTTTGTTGTGATGCAGCTGCTGTCGGTTGAGTACGGGGCGGCATGAACTCGAACGTCCCTGGTGAAGAATGATACGGCGCAAAGGTAGGCGCCTGGTTGTGCCGCCCGAATGATGAGTAGTCGAGGCTCATCGGTGCTAACCCCAATTTCCTCCGTTGCTCTGTCTTGAATGCGCAGGTGTCCTTGTCTGCTGCTGCTGGTCGAAGTGTGACATGAAGCTGAAGAACCTTACCATAAGGTTCGGGTCCACACCTGAAGAGGGTGAAGGGGTCACTATTTCTGGTACTCTTCTTGTTGTTTCTTGAGCAGCGCCGGTCTCGGTTTGCAGTCCAGAGGTGTGAAGTCCAAAAGTGCCGGGTTGAGTGGCTCGGGCGCTGGGTGAGCCCGTAGAAGAATTCTTGCCCTTGTTGTCCATGTCTTGTAATCGATGAAGCTTTTGTATGTGCTGATTGTAGATAGGATGTTGTTGACGGGAGTTTGGTCTCTGACCAGCTCTCATACCATGTTGGGCTGAGAAAAGCCCTAGGATCTTTTCAGAGACTAAGTCCCGCTTGTATGAAATGCTTTAGTAGTGCAGCGGAAGTGTTGAGTAGTTGAACCCTTGCACTAGTATGTGAGAGCAAGTGATTGATTAAAAGAAACAAGCATAGAGCAATATATAGAAAATAAGAAGTGAAGCAATTGGTAGAATACAGTTGAACAAAACAGTTATCGAGTCGCACAGCGACTCGATTGTCTGTTCGGTTACCATCCTTGCAGTCGCAACGGTCAATCGCAACCTCCGGTTGCGACCCTTCGAGTCCCTTCGCTCTTTCGTATTCTTTCGTCCAACCTCCTCGTGTAACCTCCATTGACTCGTGTACCCGATACGACCTTCCTCGAGTGTAGTGTTACACTTCATAAAACGCTCAAGTCTTCGAGGTATTTCCAACAGTAACCAATAAGGAGATTTAAAACACTGGGAAGGGGCGCAATAGCCAAAAGACCCACGCACTGAACTAAATACCGTCGTGAGCAGGTGAGAGATCCCAGTTTCCGTCGAGAACTCACAGATGTTCAGGTGACACTGTGGGATGTGTTGAAGCTCGTTTGGAGAACCTGGGGCAGCCTGTCCTCGTCTGTGGTTTTTCCCACACTATGCCATATTTGGTCCAGAGCTATGTGAAATTCCATTTTACAATCTGATAAGAAGCTGATCTGGGCAATGACTGTATCCCCTTTTAGATGCTACGTGATTTGAGACTATCGAGGTTTATGGTGTATCTCACTCTCCCACACTCCACCACCACCGTTCCCCTCCCTTCCGCCCCAACCCCACAACCCCTCCTCCACCCCCCCGTGCCCCTCACAGCAATTCACCCGCGCTGAGCCCGCGCCCTCCAAATCCCGCCCCCAGTTGCAATAGACCAAATCTACAGCGCACTTAGATCCGGGACAAGGCCAACTCCGCGAACTCGGTACAGCAGCAGATCTGGTCCGTCACAGGCTGTGCCTGCTTGCCACCAGGGCTAGACTCGGACGCAACCTGGGCCCTCCAAGTTTTTCCCTGAAAAGTCAGGGCCCGGATGAGAAACGTTCTTATAATTCAGAGCTAGGTGAAAAATTCCCCGTTGACACATTTTCCAGTCACGTCGATGTGACGTCTGCGTCACTGAGCAGCTGGTGGTCCCCCCGAAAGAGAAGGTCGTGGAAGGCGAAGGCAGACTGTGGGGTAAGGACGGAAGGACTGCCAAGGGCATGTGAGTGTAGGGGGTTCGTCAACAGTTTCCACGTTTACGCTTAGGGAAAGGGGTGCGTTGGGAGAATCGAAGGAAAAGTTAAAGGGAGAATTCCGAGTCGTTCCAGAAATTAGAATGAGTTATCAGAGTCAGTCCCGAACAAGCTTGGATTCAGTCAGGGATGGCTCGAAAAGTCCCCAACCAAAATCAGAGACGGGCTTGAAAAACACTCGGAATTTCAGTCAACAATGAGAATTTACCCTGATATCATTAGCCCTGCTTGCCACTCTGTTTCCCTTCTTCCTCCAAACCAAGCCAAAACACAACTGAACTGATTTTCACTCCACGCGTGGAGCGCCATCCCGGGGATCGCGCGGTGGTCTTTGGACAGGAGCGGAATATTCGCTTCTGCCTTCCGCGTGCCGACAGGAACACCGCCATTTGTGTGAGGCATGAGAAATCCTGAAGGATGCCCCAAAACCCCACGTGACGTATTTTTTGTGAGATGCGGGCGGCATTGTACTGTACGCAAAGTGGTGGTGGGGCTGAACAGGTGGCGCCAACCGACGCGTGAGCTCATCCAGATGGGAAATCTAGGTGGTAAATCACGTTCTGTTACAACTCTAAATTTACAACTATATATCAGCACGTGGTTATGACTACAAAAGGGAATTAATAATGCACATTATAAAAGAAAAAATATAATACGAGTTTAAGATATTTTATATCTTTCCGAATAGCAACCGGATTACGGGTATACGGTTTGTAGTGCTATCGTATTGTGAGGGTGTGTTTTAACGTACATTAAAGCTTGATATCCTACTCAAACGTTTCAGACATGTTTCTGATCGCTCTATAACACGGAGCACCTCATTCAACCTCAATCAGACGGCTTCATGATAACGGAATTCGACCAGACAAGTGGAACCCCCTCATTTCTGAAATATTGGATTTCATTTTCGTGGCAGCGGTGTGTTCGATTCATCCCAGTCGGCTCAACTACCCCCGCACATGCGATTCTTCCCCCCTGAACCTCTCCGCCATCCCCGCCCCCCAACACATCAAATCCTCTCTGAGACAGTGGCGCACTGGTGGAATGGCGTTCTCGCAATAAGCACAAATCACTTTGTAGGGGCGCTACGCTCACACCCCGACTGTCCCGTCCTTAGGCCCCCATCTGCTATTTCCTCCCTGGGTCTCGGGCTCAGCCAGCTACTTTATCACACAAGCCCCAGCTTCAATCATAGAAAATTATTCCCCTCACGATACTGCAGCAGCGATGGGTTCCGTCGGAACTTCCACTTGTTGCAGACGAACTCATCATACTCGCTCGGCGTCGGCTTCTTTTCGCGCACTCGCTGTCACAACGGCCCAGCAATTCGCACTACTGTCGCTGCCTTCCTCTCCCGCGGATTCAGCTGACTCGTCCCCCGCACGCGGCAATGCGACAGCCAGACGCGCGGGTAGCGCCTCGCATTCACCGCCTCCTCCCTCCACTTGCTTTCAAGTAAAGGCAGGGACGACGGGTGATTGCCGCGTGGCGCAATCAGGAGGGAGCCCATCCGTTACTGACCATGTCACCTCCCGCCAAAGCACCAATGACGCAGGACCAGAGACACCTTCAACTGCGCGGGACGAATCCACAAGCCCCGTCTGGGGGCTATCGCTGCAGCTGCTGCAGCATCTCGCCGCTCTCACCGCCACAAACGACAACCCGCGCGACACCAGCAGCGCCTCTTTCTTCCCGTACGCGTCGTCGCGCGACGGCCCTCAGGGTCGCAGAAGTCGCCTGACGCTGGACTCGTCCCAGCGGCGACTCGACTCGTGGAATCGCGCGACCCGAACCGCGTCTGGGAAGAGATTTGAGGACATCCGCACGCAGCGGCGGCTGAATCGCAGCAGAAGCGAGCCTTCGCCAGTAAGATCGGCTGGCGCAGAAGATTCCTTCGATAGCCTGAGGCCAGCGCGACCGCTGGATGCCGTCGTTTCAGAGGCGTGGAAGCAAATGCTCCGCCACTCGCTCCGCCGCTCTCGAAGTGCGCACGCGCTGGGGGAGAAAGACACGAACGCGCTCTGGAGCGACGCGATGACTGCGCTCATGTGGCGGCACGGGGGAGCGGTCATCTACCGACGGCCTGACGGCCAAGCGGCGTCCGAGTCAGCAGCAGAGTTGGCGAACAGCCACGACCGTCAAGTGAGTGACACCAGGCAGCAAATTTTACCGACTGCGAGCTCGGCCAACTCTGGTCGTGCAGGCCTGCCGCTTGTCTCCGGGGCGAACGCAGCGACGAACGCAGCGGTAACCAGCCGATGTCTCCCCAGCCCGTTGGCCCAAACATACCTGCCCAGCTCAGCCGCGTCGCAACGACCCGACGATTCCCAGAAGAGCCGGCCATGGAGTTCGGCCTCTGCCTGTGGTCGCTTGGCGGCGCAGGCGGCGAGCTATGACTGCTGCCGCGTGCGCACGGCGCCATCGGCCGCCGCGCACCGTGCATGCGATTCTCGCACAGTCCAGCTGACGGAGATGTCGTCGAGAACCCATGCTCCTGCTGTGTCGATGAGCGTCACTGCTGCCAAAAAATACCAGGAGCAGCAGCGACGACAGCAGCAGCAGCAGACGCTAAATACGGACCCGGTGAAATCGGTGTTCGCTTGGGCTGCTGAGCAGAGAATAGCGTCCCGGAGGGCACAGAGGGCTCAGCAGTGAGTGGGTGGGGCCCCATCCTAGTAGGATGCGACTGATGCTCTCATTCCTCTCCACCTGTGGTCAAGCTTGCCTTGCAGCGATTTCTGGGTCAAATTGTTGTGCTGTATCTCGACTCTCTGCACTCTGGTTCCGTGCCGCCGACATTTGCTTACATCCACATTACTTGCTACAGTGAGGAGGGCCTGGTGGGAATGGGCGATTCGCTAGGATTCGCCAGGACCATCTTCACAACAGGTTGTTAGCTCCGTTACTAGCTGGAATAAAAATCTCTTTGTACCTACCTTATGAATTGCACAATTGATCTCAAAATTGCTTCACATTTTGCACTTCGACAATAAAAGTATCACACTGGAACCGTCATGAATAGGCGACCATATTTTATTGAATTAAGCCACGTATTTAGGGTGATACTTCAACATCTTTAAATGCCGCAAAGTATTTAAATCGGTGAGAGAAGCTTTTACGAAGCAACATTATAAATTCCATGAACCAAAAGTTGGGCTTCCTTTTACTGCTGCTTTGACCCTGACCAGACTTCCCATTTGGGTAACAATGAGTGGAGCACGCTGGATAACTCTTGTTTAGTTTGTACTCTTGGTGACTCGTCTTCGAACCATTGCCTCAGAGGTTGGACTAGTAGCGCCACCCTGAGCTGCGTATCTCGTGCTATTCGCTGCCCCTTGTCTAGTGTTGGAAATATCTCAAAGAACTTAAGCGTTTCTGAAGTGTAACACTACACTCGAGGAAGACTACAAGGGAGCACGCGAGTCAACGGAGGTTACACGAGGGGGCGGACAAAGAATGCGAAAGGTCGCAACTGGAGGTTGCGACTGACCGTTACAGCATCATGGATGGTAACCGAAGCGGCAATCGAGTCGCTGTGCGACTCGATAAACCGTTCCTGTAACTGTACTCTACAACTGCTTTCTTATCTTCTATATATTGCTGTATGCTTGTTCCCTTAATCAATCACTTGTTCTCACATACTAGTACAAGGGTTCAAACTGCCTCAACTTCCGCTGCACTACCCCAAGTCTCAAGTCTCTACAGCTGGGACTTAGTCTCTGCAAAAGATCCTAAGGGTTTTTCTAAGCCCAACATGGTATGAGAGCTGGTCAGAGACCAAACTCCCAGCAACTACGTTCTATCACCAACCTGCAACTCAACTCAATTCAACGACTTCATTGATTGCAAGACATGGACAGCAAGGGCAAGAAAGTCTCTACGGGCTCACCCAGCGGCCAAGAAACTCAACACGGCAACTCTGGTCTGCACACCTCAGGACTGCAGACAGAGACCGGGACTGCTCAAGAAACAACGGGAAGAGTACCAGAGATGGTTACTCCATCTCCCTCTTCAAGCGTGGACCCCAACCTTATGGAAAGGTTCTTCAGCTTCATGTCGCACTTCGACCAGCAGCAGCAGACAAGGACACCTGCGCATTCAACACAGAGCAATGGAGGAAACATGGGATTAGCGCCGATGAGCCTCGACAACTCATCCTTCGGGCGACACAACCAAGCGCCTACCTTTGCGCCTTATCATTCTTCACCGGGGACGTTCGAGTTCATGCCGCCCCGCGCCCAACCAACAGCAGCTGCATCACAACAAACACCAAACGAGATTCTCAGTCTTCAGGCTCAATTCTCACACGTTATTAAGTTACAAACATCCTCACCGTTCAACGGACACGACTTCTTTACCTGGAGCTTCGAGTTCGAGCTGCTGATGGAGGCCGCGCATCTTCTGGGATACTTCAACGGGTCCCTGCCATTTCCAAGCAACGGCACTGGAAAGGAGCAAGAGATCTTCACGTATCAGTCGCTGCTGGCGTATACAGTCCTCCTGCGGAACCTGTCACCACAAGAACAGCAGAGCATCAGAACATATCGGAGTTATGGGAACTCCGCGGAACTCGCATGGCATCATCTCAAGTGCCTTTATCAAGCAAACGACAGCGTGACGCAAAGCAGACTCATGCAACAACTGACAACAATACAGATGAAGACCGGGGAAAAGGCAATGCAATATATGAGTCGATGCCAGACTCTCCGCGACCGCCTGCTTCGGTGCGGAGGAACAATCACTGAAGAAAGCTTCGTGACACTTGTCCTCGCCGGGCTCGGGCCAGAATGGAGAACCACACGATCACTTCTTCGCGCCCACGGAAGAATTTCGGAAATGCACCTCTGCGCCGAGCTTCACGCTGAACAACAGGAGATGGACCTGTTCGAAGAAAGGCAACCAAGGAAGCAGCAGCAGTTAGTCTTCTACACTCAACGAAGAAACGACAACACCTACAATCGACGCAGCAAGCAAGAGCGCGACAACAGAGGGACTACCTTTGTGCCGCCGTTCTGCCACAACTGTCAGACTTCCGGGCACTCCAAGGTCAACTGCAACCGCCCTCGCGTTTACCGTCCAGCAGACCCACAAGTTGCTTCAACCCAAGCAAGTCCCCCAAGGCGCTCTTCAACATCTGCACAACAGACACCAAACATTATCAACTGCATGGTACACATCGACAACTGTGCACCCGGCTCACCACCCACTTACGCGCCAGACGAAGAAGAGCTACCGCCACTGCGCTCACAAAGCCTTCAAGTCAATCCGACATATGCTGCAGTCGCCAACGTCGAACCCACCGGGCGGAACACCTGGTTCTTGGACAGCTGCTGCGGTCAACACATGTGCTCCTCGGGACGCTTCGTGCAACAGGAGAAACGCCTCAACCGCGACGTCGTCATCACCGTCGCCAACAACGAAAACCTGAAGACAAACAGACAAGGCGTGGTTCAGTTACAATCAATGGAAACAAACGTAATACTGCAGCTCAACAAAGTGCTCATTGTCGACAACCTGGGATACAATCTACTAAGCGTAAGCCAACTAATGGCCAAAGGGATTCACCTGGAGTGCGACTCTTACTCCAACGAGTTCCGACTTTACCACGGGAAGGGCGGCCTCTTCATCGGTCGTGCCCTCCTGAAGTCCGGCGTATTCGTGTTGGACTTCGTCCCCGACCGCGGCACTGCCGACAGCGACGGTATCGTATCATTCGCCGCCTGGACTCACCCGCCGGATCTTGATCCCGACTTCGACAGTGACGGCTTCTGGCACTCCAACACCATACCTGCAGCAGAGAGAACACGAGCATTATCAGTTATCAGACAAGAAAGACAAGTACCCGCACGTGTCCCAACAAAACCATCACCTGCAGTATCGGCAGCAGGACCCAGCCGAGTACCACCACCAGCGACACGAGGACCGCCAACCGAAGCAGACCAACTTATGCCCGCCACACGAGAAGCTTGTCGAAGTCCCGCCTCGGTCGTCGCGTTCTTCTCCAACGCCGACATCTACCACCGCTCGCCCGGTCACCGCGCTCCCGACGACATCTGGCACCAACGTCTCGGACATCCTGCAAACAGCACGATACTTCAAACAATCCAAGCAGATGTGTTAGAACGCAACGCCCTTCTGACGACGAGCGGCCAAGAACTTCGACGACCACGCGCACGGTGCTTCACATGCCCCGAAGCAGATCTTCCTCATCAACCTTTCCCATCCCATCACAACCCAAGCGCACCTACTTACGCTCCGATGGAAAAGGTCTACAGCGATATTTTAAACATGCCTCGAGACGACACCGAAGCCGACTTCAACTACGTCATCACGTTCATCGACGCCGCAACCAGATATGTATGGCACTTCAATCTCAAGACGCGCGATCAAGCCTTCGAAGCCTTCACAACATGGCTTCCCATCGCCGAACGAGAATCAGGACTCAAACTCAAGAGCTTCCAGTCAGACGGTGCACTGGAATACCAGTCACAACGCTTCAAGACCTATCTGGCGGAAAGAGGAATCAGACGCCTGGTGTCCCTGCCCTATGCTCACCAACAGCAGGGGGTCGCAGAACGCATGAATCGGACCTTGCAGACGACAATGCGAAAACTGCTTCAGGGGATGAGACTGCCAACCACACTGTGGCCAGACGCGATGACACATGCAGTCCACCTGCACAACCTGTTGTCCTCGTCATCGCTCCCCAACAACGCATCACCACACCTGCTGTGGACGGGAAAAAGGGGCAGCACAAAATTACTTCGAGTTTTCGGCTGCATGGTACAATACAGACCCCACACAGCTCGAGCAAGACGCTTCACTCAACGAGCTCGGTGGGGACTACACCTCGGCATCGCCAAACATTTTCACGCGTGGAAGATTCTCGACATACAAGACAAAAATACGGTGGCATCACGTGATGTTATCTTCTACGAGCGACTGACGCTGCAGCATTACCTGGACAACATTGCCAACTCAGACGACCCCACCGACGGCTTCGCGGGCCTTCGCTCCTTCGCTGACCATGCTGCCGAGGCTGACGCAGCAGAAGAAGACGTCCCTGGAGCCTCGGAGGCTGCCGGACCACTCCCCTACTGCTCCGTACCTGTTCCACTCGATGAAGATAATCCCCTCGATAGCAACAACCTCGACACCTTTTACCACTTCGCTGACCAAGGCTACGCTACACCACACCCCGTCGACTCGAATATTTCCGAACGCATCGGGCCAAACTTCTTACCCGATCCTGAAGACGGTGATGAAGCAGCTTATCCCGGGAATGAAAATTCCCCTCGACACACAGCCACGGGACTGCAGATCCTAGGACTATGGGTCTCCGTCCAGCACCCGCCGCCGCCTTCTCCGCGCGAGCCATCGACCCTGTCGCAGGCTCTGGGGGGGGAACATAAGGCGTGCGACTCGATAAACCGTTCCTGTAACTGTACTCTACAACTGCTTTCTTATCTTCTATATATTGCTGTATGCTTGTTCCCTTAATCAATCACTTGTTCTCACATACTAGTACAAGGGTTCAAACTGCCTCAACTTCCGCTGCACTACCCCAAGTCTCAAGTCTCTACAGCTGGGACTTAGTCTCTGCAAAAGATCCTAAGGGTTTTTCTAAGCCCAACATGGTATGAGAGCTGGTCAGAGACCAAACTCCCAGCAACTACGTTCTATCACCAACCTGCAACTCAACTCAATTCAACGACTTCATTGATTGCAAGACATGGACAGCAAGGGCAAGAAAGTCTCTACGGGCTCACCCAGCGGCCAAGAAACTCAACACGGCAACTCTGGTCTGCACACCTCAGGACTGCAGACAGAGACCGGGACTGCTCAAGAAACAATGGGAAGAGTACCAGAGATGGTTACTCCATCTCCCTCTTCAAGCGTGGACCCCAACCTTATGGAAAGGTTCTTCAGCTTCATGTCGCACTTCGACCAGCAGCAG